GGGGAGTCTAAACCAAAGGAATGGGGGCTGGAAACCGGGCCCGAAAGCTCTTCCCTGGATTCTTTGTGGGGATGTGTGTGCGTGTGCGTGTGTGCCCGCACATGTGCAGAGGTCAGAGGTCAGCCTTGGGTGCCTTCCTCAGTAACTCAGCATCTTGCTCTTTGAGTTTCTCCCTTGGCCTGTAGCTGATGCAGCCTGGCCGCCTGACCAGCAGGTCCTAGGAGCCTGCCCGGCTCTCTCTTTCCAGCTGGGACAAGCTTTGTCTCTGTGGGGACCAAACTCACACTGAGTCATCTCCTTAGCCATGGATTATTGTTGTGATTTTTTTGAGGCAGGATCTTGCTGTGTAACCTAGGCTGGCCTTGAACTCCTGATCCTCCTCCTCAGCTTCCTGAGACACCACCACAGCCAGCTCTCTGAGAACCTTGGGGGCTCCTCTTCCATGATCCATGTCTCTCCCTTTGACCGTGACCCCTCATGCTACGTGACTTCACACCTTTGGTGGGTATGCTAGAACATTAAAAACAAAACACACTGCTCTTTCTGGCCCACAAACAGCTCCCCTTGGCCACTGTGTTCCAGCGCAGTGGGGACCCCTGCCCACAGGGGCTCCTTGGGGTGGCCGGTGGCATTCTCTCTGGTCCCCTTATGTTTAGAGTCACATTCTTTTTTTTTCAGACATAGAGCACGGGGACCGGCGCACGACACACCGACACTGTCTGACTAGATCTGTGAGATGCTCCCAACCTTGGGGTCACTGGGCGTGCGTCCTCCCTCACAGTGGACTCTGGGCAGCTGGGTCTGAGTAGCCTCGATCATGAGCTCGGGCAGTGAGCTCTTTGTCACTGGGTGTGAGTGGGGAAAGGCCACGGGCACGGTGTCCGTTACTCTCCCCACTGCGGTGACAGAATCACCTCAGGAGAGATTCAGGACATGTGGGTCCCTCAGGGTAGGGAGGCATTGGAGGGAGGCGGGCTCCTGTTCATGATGGCGGGAGCTGGGCGTCCGCTCACAGGGCTCCAAACAGGAATCAGGGAGCCAGCTGGGCAGTACACACTTGTAATCCCAGCTCTCAGGAGGGGAGGCAGGAGGATCAGGAGATCAAGTTATCCCTGGCTACATAGCTCAAGGATAGCCTGAGCTACTCGAGGTCCTGGCTCTCAGGGCTGTCCTGGTGTCCGTTCTGGTCCTGACTGCTATCAGTCTGGGGAGGAAAGAGTTTATGTGGCTTGCACTTCCAGGTCACAGTTATCTCTGAGAGAAGTCAGGCAGCAAGATGAATCAGAAACCAGGCAGGAAGGTGCTCGCTGGCCTGCTCACCAGCTCATGTTCAGCTAGCTTTCTTCTGCAGCCCAGAGTTGCCTGACCCGGGAGTGGCACCCACAGTGGGCTGGACCCTCTTACATCATTTAATAACCAGTGACCTTACAGGCCCATTTGGCCTATGCAGTCCTCAGCTGAGACTCCAGGATGTGTCAGCTTGACAGTTAAAGCTAAGAAGGACATCAACCACACGAGCAAACAACAATAAAAAGGCAGCTGGGGTGTGGCTCAGTGGTGGAGCCCCTGCCTAGAATCCCCCAGTGAGGGGCTGGGTGTGGCTCAGTGGTAGAGCATCTGCCTAGAATCCCCCAGTGAGGGGCTGGGGTGTGGCTCAGTGGTAGAGCATCTGCCTAGAATCCCCCAGTGAGGGGCTGGGTGTGGCTCAGTGGAAGTGAGATATCTTAACTGTTAACACCCTCCTTCCCTTCTCATCACATCCTCAGCACACAGCTACCTCCAGGAGCTGGGCTTCCTAACCCAGTACTTCCGCCACCCTCTAAAACAGCTCTCAACATTTCACACACTGACGCCCTGACAATGGCAGACTCAGATGGGTTCCTTGAATCTTGCAGAGCAGAAAGTCAGTCAGACAAGTGACACATGGAAGGCTGTGTGTGAACAGGGACCTGAAGCCAGCTGTATCTCCTGCCCTTCTCTTCTCCTCTCCCTCCTTCCTCCCTCCTTTCTTCCTTCCTCCCTCCCTTCCTCCTTCTTCCTTCCTTCCTTCCTTCCTTCCTTCCTTCCTTCCTTCCTTCCTTCCTTCCTTCCCTCCCTCCTTTCCATTTTGAGACAACCTCTCACTAACTTGCCCAGTCTGGCATGGAATCCCTATGTAACACAAGCTGGTCTTGAACTCTTAGTATGCCTGCCTCAGTCTTCTAAATAGCTGGAATGACAGGCCTGGGCCACTGTGTGTGGCAGGAAGAAGATTTTGAGGAACAGTGATGTCAGCGTGGTGGGGCTGGCCGAGGCTGAAGTGGGGAGACTAGGGTAGCTTGACCTTGGGGAGTTATAAGTACAAATTTAGCAGGTGGTTGGGACAGAATTCAGTGCTTGCCATGCAAACTTGAGACTTGAGTTTGATTCCCCAGTGCCTATGTGAAAAAGCAGGCATGGTAACATGCGTTTATAACCTCAGCGCTGAGGCCCACTGGGGCTCACTGGCTATCTTGCCTAGTCCAAATGGCTAGTTCAAAGCCACTGAGAGACTCTGTCTCAAAAGTAATAGGTGGGCAGTTCCTGAGGAACCTTTGCAGTTGACCTCTGACCTTCGAGCATGCACACACACACACACACACACACTCTCCCTCTCTCTCTCTCTCGTGCACACACACGCACACACACACACTCTCGTGCACACACACCCATGCGCACGCGCACACACACGAGGGTGGGGGAAGGAGAGGGAAGAAGGGTGAAGGTTGAAAGGTGGAATCACCTGCTCCTGGCTGGTCTGACAGCAGCTGTCACCCTCTCCAGGCGAGCCTTCCCCAGAGACCGCTCTCCCTCCTCTACCTGACGATGGTGGAGGCTGTTTTTCCCTGCTCCCCTGGCTGGGGTGTGTGTGTATTCTGCTTGTTCAGAGCTGTCCTGAGCTTTTCAGTTAGGGGCCGGATGCCATCATTGTCCCCCTCGCTGAGCCCAGAGCCGGGAGGTGCCAGGGTGAGGCTTATGACCTGGCAAGGAAAGACCGTACCCTGAAGCTGGCACAGACAGAGCCCCTTGTGCCATGTGCACAGTGCACCTGTCCCAGACACACAGCCTGCCTGCCCACCCGTCGGTCTGCTGTGGGATAAGCCTCGAGTCCAGGGTCCCCTTCAGTAGGTGGGGCCTATGTACCTGTGGATTGTGTGAGGGCGATTATGAGGTTCTCTGAGGGTGACACAGAAGAACCTGGTGGGTGGAGGGCCAGTGAGGAGACACAAGTGTGGCTCCATGGTAGAGTACTTGCTTAGAACCACCCAATCAGGGGAGGGGTACAAGACCCAACAGTAGAAAACCAGCCCATAGTTCTCCAGCAAACGGATGGAAGCATGGCTCAGTGGTAGAGCCCCTGCCTAGAATCCCCCAGTGAGGGGCTGGGTGTGGCTCAGTGGTAGAGCCCCTGCCTAGAATCCCCCAGTGAGGGGTGGGTGTGGCTCAGTGGTAGAGCCCCTGCCTAGAATTCCCCAGTGAGGGGCTGGGGTGTGGCTCAGTGGTCACCTGCCTAGAATCCCCCAGTGAGGGGCTGGGGTGTGGCTCAGTGGTCACCTGCCTAGAATCCCCCAGTGAGGGGCTGGGGTGTGGCTCAGTGGTAGAGTACCTGCCTAGAATCCCCCAGTGAGAGGCTGGGGTGTGGCTCAGTGGTAGAGCCCCTGCCTAGAATCCTCCAGTGAGGGGATGGAAGTGTAGAAGGCCAGAGAAAGGGGGCAGGGCCAGCTTTAGTCCAAAAAGATTAAGACACAGGCATAAGGAAAGGAGGGTTTATAGAAGCTTCTTTATGAATCCATTTCAAAGAGCCTTTCTCTTTAGCAATACTTCTTCCTACCTGCCATACCAGTTGTAGGGGTGTGTATGTGTGACCTAACCCCCTGACCCCTTAATTTCCTCACTTGGAAAGTGGGTTAATGATTAACTCTGGCAGGGTATAATATCGAATACTTTTAAACAAAGCCCTTGGGAGACAGAGGCAGGCAGTTCATTCTCAGTGAGTTCAAGGCCAGCCTGGCCTATGTAGTGAGCTTCCAGGCAGCCAGCACTACACAATGAGACTTTGTTGAGAGAGAGAGACAAAGAGACAGAGGGGGGAGAGAGAGACAAAGAGTGAGGAGAGAGAAGAGAAAAGACAGAGATGACAGAGACAGAGAGGAGAGAGAGAACAGAGGAGAGAGACAGAAAGAGAGGAAAGAGAGGAGAGAGGAGAGACAGGAGAGATAGAGAAGAGAGGAGAGAAAGACAGAAAAACAGAGGAGAGAGCACACACGTTGACTCTGACTCCTGTTTTAGAACCTTGCGTGACCTTCTGGTTTATAAATGTCAGCCACTCTTGGTTTGATTGGTATCACATTCTCTCTTGTCAAGGCAGGGATCAGCCGTACCAGCCTGCAGGCTTGAGGCCAGCTCCGGGGACAGCTAAGCTCCCCCGCTCTTGGGGACTCATGGCTGCATGGGCCCGAGCCAAGCCCTCTGGCCTTGGCAGCCACTCACAGGTGGTTTCCCCAGGCAGCCGACTTGGCTGGGGATTGGGCTGCTTTTGGGGCTGAGCTGGGGCCGCCAGCTAGTCACCCGAGGAGGCTGCTGGCGACAGGTGTGGGCTCTGCTTGGTTTGGATGGATCCTCATCTGGGAGATGTGTGTGTGTGTGTGTATACACAACCTTTGTAATTCTCCCTCTGCTTTCTCAACACTGTTCTGTGCATTTTCTTTTGTAGCCCTGCCTGTGTGTGTGTGTGTTGTACTGAGGATTGAACCCAGGACCTTGTGCATGCTAAGCAAGTCCTCTACCATCGAGCTATACCTCACCCCTCACTTCTACGCAAGCCCTGACGTAGATTTCCAGCTGCGCACAGGCCCTGGTGTAGCCCAGGCTGCCCTTGGATTTGCCAAGACGCCCTTCACCTCCTGGCCGTCCTGCCTTCGCCTCCCGAGTGCTGGCTCGGAAGGATCAGGCAAAGACAAAGCGTGGGGCAGCAGGAGAGCTTCTTGCCTGCCGAGGACGCTTGCGAGCTCAGTCCCCAGCACCAGAAATCAATAATAAGTAAGTAAAAAAATAAGCAATCACACAGCAGCACAGTTTCTGACGGGTCTGGGCTGACAGCGCCTCCCGCATATACAAAGGACTTGAGTATCTATAGATTCGGTATGAGGTCTTAGAATTCCGGAGGTTGACTCAGTGAGGGGGTTGAGGGACCCTGGGCAGGGCAGACCAGAGCGTCATAGCACCCCAGTGTCCCCACGCAAGGGCTAGCATCCCAGAACCCTGAAACTCAAGGGATGTGGCGATCTTCCCTCTCAGTGCCCCCAGCTGGCACGGCGCCTCTGCTCCAGGAGCCGTCCTGACCCTCCCAGGTCCAAGGCCAGGCCTTCCCAGCTGCTTGCAGGCATGGGCTGGCTCTCGAGTCCTTGGCCACGAGCCCGCTTCCTGGTCCACGGCCCTTGTTGGCTTAGGGACGGCGGAGATCCCCGGCTTAGACAGCGTCCACACTGGTGGGTCAGGGACGGCGGAGATCCTCGGCTTAGACAGCCTTTGCCACCCACTCCTACAGCCCCAGGGAGATGCCCAGCTTGAACGCCCCTCATCTTGTCCTTGGTCACCTTCCAAAGTATTTAGGCCTGGATGGTGCCTGGAGGAGCACTATTTAAAGAGCCACCCCGAGCTCTCCCCAGACCTGCTGCAGCTCTGGAAAGCACGCCACACCATGGTAGGCTGGGCCCGCCCTCCCTGTACCCCCTCAGTCCCCGTGGGGCTCCACCCCAGCCCTGACCTCCTCCCTGGCAGCCACGAGTGGTCTGACTTTGATACCAGAACTTGGTCCGACCGTGTTGTCTCTGTTGGGGAACCAGTCTCACGCATGTCCAATCTCACCCACGTGGCTTCTTTTTGTGTGTAGTGTGCATTTGCATGTGTTCCGGTGTGTTCCAGTGTGTGCAGCTGTGTGTGCAGCCACGTGGAAAGGCCTCCAGTGTGTCCTGGCTTGTTTGTTCATTGGTTTTTCGAGGCAGGGTCTCTCTGTGCAGCCTGGCTGTCCTGGAGCTCTCTCTGTAGACCAGGCTGGCCTTGACCTTGGAGGTCTGCCTGCCTTTGCCCCGGGAGTGCCGGAACTAAGGGCGTGGCTGCGCCCAGTGAGCCCTAGGCTCCCGTTCCCCCTTCGCCCGCGCTTGGCTTACAGGCGCAGGCCTCCACGTCCTTTCTGCGTGGGCTCTGCTTCTCAGGCTTCCCAGACCATCGCTCTGCAGGCCGAGCTGTCTGCCCAGCCACGTAGGTTTGGATTTGGTGATGCTCTTTGATTCCACAGAGGGTCTGGGGGATGAAGAGCGGTGTGCAGAGATGAGCAATTGTCCTTATGGGCTGCATAGAATCGAGGGCTCCGTGCTGGCTGGGGGATGCCATTCCTGTTGCCGGGCGGGCGCCCAAACTGACATGCTAGAGGCGGGGGTCCCTCTCAGGCCCGTGCTCCAGCCCCTGGTGACCAGCCCCTGGCCGGCCTTCTCCCACCTGTTAATGCCGCCTCCTGGTGGCCTGCAAACTCTTTGGGAAGGAGGAAGGGAGAGCCCGACGTTAACGTTTGAGGCAGGGCTACTCTTGATTTTCAGAAAGAGGTCCGCGTGTGTGGGTTAGTTGGCAGAGTCCTGGCCGAGCCCCTGAGGCCTTGCCTCCCATCCTCAGCAACCGGCCATGGTGACACATGCCTGCCACGCCAGCACTTGGAGACGCGAGGACCAGAGATTCAGGGTCATCCTTTGCTACATAATGAGTTTGAGGGCAGCCTGGGCTACATGAGACCCTGTGTTATAAAAATGGTTAATCTAAGCAGGGAGATGGAGACTTAAAGAATATGTGTGTGTGTGCCTGTGTGTGCATGGGTGTGTGGGGGTGTGTGTGGGGGTGGGGGGGTGCCGAAGCCCCGAGAACGGGGAAGCGATCATTCCTTATTAATCAGGGGAACGCACGTGTAATTACCTGCGCTGAGCTCCACAGGGCGTCTTTCTCTGTGATGTCTGAAGGGATCTATAAACACTTCCTCCACTCGCAGCAGCCCTTGTGTGGCCGCTGTGCCAGCCAAGCCCCCTCCCCCTTCAGAAGGCCTCAGGAGACTGGCACTCAGTAGGAGCTCCTGACAGCCCGGAGCCCTGGGGAGGGGGAGCCGGTGGGCTGGGGGACCACACAGGTGCTGGGGGGCTGGGGAAACCCCCCATAGGGGCTAAGCAAAGCCTGGGAGGGAGAGGGCTGCTGTGGGGTGGGGTCGGGGGAGGGGACTGCTGTCAGGGGAGAGGGCTGCTGTGGGGGGGCTGCTGGCGGCGGGGGAGGGGCCTTTTTCTTCTCTGACATCAAGGACCTGGGATTGCTGTGTGGATACCCTCCTCCGTAAATACAGGGTCCCCAGTTTGATTCCCAGAACCCAACAGGGAAAATAAGAGTTGGAGGTGGAGCATGGCGGGCTCGTAATCCCAGTGCTGGGGAGGGACCGGCACTGGGACACAGGCGGCGGGTCCCTGCAGCTGGCCTAGCCGAATAGGTGAGCTCCGGCCAGTGAGAGATTCCGTCTCAAAACAAGCAGAGAGATGGCCCAGCATCAGGAGGTGCTCACTGCCTCACACACACACACACACACACACACGTACACACGTACACACACACACACACACACACACACACACACACACACACAGACACACTCGAACATGCATGTGCACCATTCTGGGGTGACGGGAGCAGACACTGTGGGTAGAGGGCATGCAGAGCGGGGTTGGGGGCAGAACCCAGGGGAGAGGATGGGATGTCTGGGATCTCGTCCAGGAACAGAGCTGGCAGGACTGAGGGTGGACAGAGCACCCTGCGGGCGTTTAGCTGGTGGACAGCAGGTGAGCTGGGTGGCAGGGTGAGGTCAGGAAGCCCACAGGGGCTGGAGATGGAAGCGTGCCCAGCTGGCCCTGCTTCGGGAGCCGGCCACGGTGCGTGACACAGGTGTGACACAGGCGTCGGGAGGAAGGCAGTGGCACTGGAGCACGGGGCCGGCCTCTGGGAGACGCTGTGGCCTCGGCCCCCTCTTGTTCACAGGCACCAAGGAGAGCCCGGAAGCGGGCAGAGGGCACGGCCAGCTCCAACGTCTTCTCCATGTTCGACCAGTCCCAGATTCAGGAGTTTAAAGAGGTTGGTGGGTGAGCGAGAGGAGGGACGGGCTGGTCGGGCTCACAGTCTGGGGGTGCAGCCAGGGCTGGGGAAGGCGAGGATGCAGAAGAGCAGGTCGCGGGGAGGGGGCACTGTCCCTTGCTGCTCCTTGTCATTTAGTCAGGACCGCAGAGGAGGCGCCGCCCTTACTGCAGGGGCTGCCCACCTCCGCGTGCCCAGTTTCCATGGTGACTCTAAGTCCGATCAAGTTGACAATAATAACGGCGGACCATCAGAGCTCACTGGGAACCAAGGAGGTCTCCCAGGGCTTGCAGTGGCCCACGAGGTCCCTCCTCGGGGCCCTCCTGGCCGCCTCTGTCCCCACACAGGCGGTTGCCGACTGCCCAGCCTCTGCCCGATGCGGGACCGTGGACCAGCCTGTCCCTTTCTGAGCCCGTTTCCATCTCAAGACTCAGCTTCCGTTTTCCCTCTCCGAGTCCCACTTTCCCTCTCTGAGTCTCAGTTTCCCTCTCTGAGTCGCTGTGTGGAGTCCCAAAGCACTCAGGGCAGGGGCTCAGGGCAGGTAGACCACAGTTCCCATGATGCAGTGCGGATGGACAGTCTGTGGGGAGGCGGCAGTTGGTCTGGGTTGGCAGCTCAGAGCCAGTGTCTCCATCAGGCCTTCACTATCATGGACCAGAACCGTGATGGCTTCATCGACAAGGAGGACCTGAGGGACACCTTCGCTGCCCTGGGTAAAGCCGTGGTGGGGAAGCTTTTAGCTGATGACTGAGGTGGGAGGAAGGAGGGGCTTGAGAGCTGAGGAGTCCCATGAAAGGGAAGGCTTCCGGTGAGGGAGGCCGTGGGGCTAGGGGAAGACACTTAAAGATCATAAAAACGTTTATTTCTCTTTTAAATTTATTTATTTACTCTGCAGTTCTGCTTGCATGTACACCTGCATGCCAGAAGAGGGCACCAGATCTCACTATAGATGGTTGTGGGCCTCCATGTGGGTGCTGGGGATTGAGCTCAAGACTCTGGAAGAGCAGCCAGTGCTCTTGACCGCTGAGCCATCGCCCCGGCCCCTAAGATCACTTTTGACATTGTGCCTAGACCCTGGGCTAGCGAGAGGTGTGACCGGCCAGCAGCACAGGGCTGCTTCTCTGCGCTCACACGCTGAGGCAGGTGGATTTCCGAGTGAGCGTCTAGATTACATGACAAAACAGTCTCAAAACAGAGCAGTAGGCGCTGGGGTTGGGGAGAAGCTGGGGTGCTCGAACTGAGACAGCGCGATTGAGGTTTGGGTGTCTGGGAAGCAGAGCGCCCGCCGGGACCCTGCAGAATCCGGGGTCCCTGTGTCCAGCAGCGTCCGAGACCGGAGGTCCCCAGGCCTCCCCACTTGTCCCAGCCTCTGTCTGTCTTTGTTTTTCGTTTGGTTTGGTTTAAATCTGTACCAGGCAGCTGCAGAGTGGCTTGCTCTGCTTTGTAGGAAGCTTGAGGGGTGAGCAGGGGGCCAAGGGTGTGAAGGGGCGATGGCATGGAGGCTCCCCAATAGACAGGAAGTGCTGGGTGGATGTGGGCTGGACGCTCCTCAGCTTCTTCCAGGCCATGTCCCCCAGCCCCTCACATCCTCCCTTCCTCTCCAGGTCGCATAAATGTCAAGAACGAGGAGCTGGAAGCCATGTTGAAGGGCGCTCCGGGGCCCATCAACTTCACAGTCTTCCTGACCATGTTTGGGGAGAAGCTCAAGGGTGAGGGTTTCTCCTGGCCCTGGGGAGGGGCTCCGGGGCTCGGCCCTTGTGTTTACATAACCACAGATGGAAGCTCGTCTCCCAGACACTGTCCCCTGGCTGTGCGCACTGTCCTGGACCCTGCCTCAGTTTCCACCTCTGCACGCACAGTGGCGATCACGGTAGAGACCTCTCCCTTGCAATCCTCTGCCCACTGTCGGGGTCAGACTTGCCACCCCTCCCCCTTCATTCCCGGCTCTTCCTTCCACCTGCTCCCTCTGTCTTTGTCCACTCTTGTTTCCCCTTCCACCACCTGCCCTGCCTGTCTGGCCTCTGCCGATGGTGACGCAGGCAGAGCATTGGTAAAAGGGAATGGGGTTTCTGAGACCAGCTGAGGCTGGCCCCATCGCTAGACAGGCTGCTTAGCATGGCCTGCTGTGGAGTCCCACAGTCCCCAGCTGTGAAGAACCAGAGGCAGCTCAGTGATCCCTGAGCCCTAGGTTCCCCGCCAAAGAGAACTTGAACAGACCCAGTTCTAACTACACACTCCCGAGAGGCTTAGAAGACGGGTCATCTCTCTCCACCCTCTCCTTGGCCCTGGGAGCTCCCTGTAAACGAATGGGACATCCTGGGCTGTGGCTGCCTCAGCCCTCACTCTTAAGATCTGGCCTCTCTCACAGGGTGAGGGAGTGATAACCTTTGAGCTGATTTGCTTTACATGCCTTGGTATATTAGGAGAGCCCCTGCCTAGACTAGTCCACACAGGGTTAGGGCTGTGGCTCAGTGGTAGAGCCCCTGCCTGAATCCCCCAGTGAGGGGCTGGGGTGTGGCTCAGTGGTAGAGCCCCTGCCTGAATCCCCCAGTGAGGGGCTGGGGTGTGGCTCAGTGGAAGAGCCCCTGCCTGAATCCCCCAGTGAGGGGCTGGAAGTCTAGCCCAGCAGTAGAACCAGAGGATGGCGTCTCCAGCCTGATGTGACATGTCTATTGAGGGTGAGCAGGAAGGGCACCACCTTTAGCTGTGATGGTGGCCTTGCACTTGAGGAGATTGAGGAGTGAGGCTCACGGGCTAAGTCACAGTGATGACTGAGGGCTTACAGCTTGTTCTCATCTTTGCTGGGCCTCCAGGCCTGGGGCTCCAGCTGGGCCTGTCATGCAAACTTGTCCAGGGCTGTGTGAGAGGCTGGCAGTGGGGAGGGCCACGCTGGACAGGCACCGTCATGGCCGTTAATTGGGACAAGACTGTCCTCTGGCTTTTTATGGGTCGTGCGGGCCCCAGAGCAGAGGCCCTCTCTGGGATGAGGCAGGGAGTGGCTGGCTGAGGTGAGGGAGCCACTGCCCGGCTAACCAAATTCAGGAAGGTGGTAGGGACAGCTGCAGGCTGCCTCAGCCACCAGGGCTCTCCAGAGAGACACAGCGGGCCTTTGGCTAACTGACCCAGGGGCCGTGTCCCTGGAGACTCCCCAGGCGCCGACAGAACCCTGCACCCCTCTCCGTCTTAGCATTGCCCCAGCTCTGCTGCTCAGCCCACCTGGGCAAGGCACCCCGAGTCTAGCCCTGCTTAGAGGGATGGCCCCTCATCCCCAGGGCCAGCAGTGTGATAGGGACACACAGAGGCCAGCATATTCTTACAGGGCAGACACACAGGTCCGACGTGCAGCCTGATAGTGAGGCTCAGAGAGGCTTTAGTCTGACGGCGAAGCTGCGGAGCTGCAGATGGCTGGCAGCAGCGATGGGTTTGTAGCTCTGGTTCATTGGGATTCTTCAAAGCCTGGTCATTAAGATGCACACACCTATAAGCCCAGTACTTGGGATCGGGGAGGCAGGAGGATCAGGAGTTCAAAGACAACCTCAGCTATATAGCAAGTTCTAGAACAACCTGGGCTACATGGCAGTCAATAGAAACCAAACCAAACAAACAAAAATGGAGCAAAACAAAATAAAACTTCAGGCCATTAGCAGCCATTAGCCAGCTGGTCCTGTATACCGTGTGACAAACAACCTTTGACCCCAGGACAGTCCAGGGCTGAAGGGAGGAAAGGGCTTTCTAGATCCACACTGAGCCCCTCACTGGGGGACTCTAGGCAGGGACTCTACCACTGAGCCACACCCAGCCCCTCACTGGGGGACTCTAGGCAGGGGCTCTACCACTGAGCCACACCCCAGCCCCTCACTGGGGGATTCTAGGCAGGGGCTCTGCCATCAAGCCATAGCCCTAGACTAAATTGCTTCTTTTGGTAACTGCTTTCCGTAAAGCCACAACGTGGCAACAGGAACTATTCCAGCTGCATCACCCCCCATCACCCACCTGTCCTAAGTGGCACAGTCTTGAAGACTTCTCCAGTGAGCTCAAGCATCAGCCCCCAAGATCAGAGTTCTTTTCCTTCACCACAGCCATCGTGTAGAACTTTTTTTTTTAAAGGATTTATTTATGTATATGATGTTCTGTACGTATGTACACCTGCAGGCTAGAAGAAGGTACCAGATCTCATTATAGATGGTTGTGAGCCACCATGTGGCTGCTGGGAATTGAACTCAGGACCTCTGGAAGAGCAGCCAGTGCTCTTAACCTCTGAGCCATTGCCACAGCCTCCATGGTGTAGAATTTAATCAATCTCACGGTTGCTCTCTTGCCCTCAGACCTCATTGAGCATTTACTAATTTCAGCTTTGAGACATTGGACAAGTGACCTAGCATCTCTGTGCTTCCGTTTCTTCACATCTGAGATGGGGACAATTGTCAGGAGAGTCAAGAGCGTAGTAAATGCTGTGAGGGGTGCAGTCCCTTCAGTCTCTGTGAGGGCTCCAGGCTCCCAGACACTCTCCACTGCACCACATTAGTGGCTTTGAAGAAAATTGTACCAAAATAATTTATTCTGACTCTGGGGTGTGGCTCAGCAGTAGAGCCCCTGCTAGAATCCCCCAGTGAGGGGCTGGGGTGTGGCTCAGTGGTAGAGCCCCTGCTAGAATCCCCCAGTGAGGGGCTGGGTGTGGCTCAGTGGTAGAGCCCCTGCCTAGAGTCCCCCAGTGAGGGGCTGGGTGTGGCTCAGTGGTAGAGCACCTGCCTAGAGTCCCCCAGTGAGGGGCTGGGTGTGGCTCAGTGGTCACCTGCCTAGAGTCCCCCAGTGAGGGGCTGGGGTGTGGCTCAGTGGTGTAGCCCCTGTCTAGAATCCCCCAGTGAGGGGCTGGGGTGTGGCTCAGTGGTCACCTGCCTAGAATTCCCCAGTGAGGGGCTGGGTGTGGCTCAGTGGTAGAGCCCCTGCTGGAATCCTCCAGTGAGGGGCTGGGTGTGGCTCAGTGTCACCTGCCTAGAATCCCCCAGTGAGGGGCTGGGTGTGGCTCAGTGGTAGAGCCCCTGCCTAGAATCCCCCAGTGAGGGGCTGGGTCTGGCTCAGTGGTCACCTGCCTAGAGTCCCCCAGTGAGGGGCTGGGGTGTGGCTCAGTGGGAGTTGGAAACCTTCCCCTTCCCTTAACTTCTTACCTTGTCCCTGCCACTCACCACCCTTTCCCGTCTACGTGTGCTGCCTGTAGGCACGGACCCGGAAGAGACCATTCTGCACGCCTTCAAGGTGTTTGACACCGAGGGGAAGGGCTTCGTCAAGGCTGATGTGTAAGTTCTAAGGACTGTAGCTGAGGTGCGCCAGGGTGCTGTCAGCCCTGTTCCTCTCCCCTCAGCACTCACCTGAGCAGGCGTAGCATCCACCCAGCAGCCGGAGGCCCCTGCCCCAGACCAGCACAGCGCCCCTGGGACACACTCCCTCCCTCCCAGGCCTCATTGTTCCCCTGGCTCCCTATGTCTGCAAGTGGCTGGGCAGTGTGGCATATCCATGGGCATAAGCTCCTCCCCTCTTCTTCCTTCTTTTCCTCTTCCACTTACTGCTCCTCTTCCTCCTCTTCTCCTCCACCTCCTCCTCTTCCTCTTTCTCTTCTTCAACCCCCTCCCCTGTCCCTCCTCTCCCCCTCCTCCTCCTCCAGGCTCCAGGTTTTTCATCTTCCCCAGCCACCTCAGTAGCCGATACACACTACCCCCTGATCCACCCTCTCCTTTCCCACATCTAGAATGCCATGCCCACCCTAGATTGACGACTCTGTCCTTCTCCTTCAAGGCCCACCCACATCTCTCCATCTCTAACATCCCTTGGGCTGGCATCACAGAGGTGGATTCAGCCGTGGTGGCCTGTCACACACACATGGGAACAGTTCCTAGGGAGAGCAGGAGGGACAAGAGCCAAAGTCAGGGAGCAGCAGTCGACACAGGTCCCTGGAAGCTGGGCCAACCTCCAAGATGTCTCTCCCGGTCCTTGCTGGAGCTTAGGTAGCCCTGGCTGGTGAGATGCCCCTTCCTCTGAGGGACAGGCTGGTACCCAGTGACAGCCATTCTTTGGCGGTGGCTGATGGGTCTGGCTGCCCTTCGGAGCTTCCAGCTATGGGGGGGAGGGGGCAGATGGAACCTGATAGGTGCCGTCCAAGACCGGGAGTTGTGCTCCCTGGAGTGTGGAGGGGCCGCCAAAGTGCCAAGGGTAGCTCAAGCTGAAACCCCATCCTCGGGGCTCTGTGACTCTTTGCTGAGTCTTGAGGACCTACTGTGGTACCAGGAGAAGGCCAGGCATAACACGGACCATCCCCTCTCCGGCTGCGGTGGGGGTGGGACTCATTTTGGGAATGGAAGGAATAGTCCCAGGCTGTGGGGGCCGGGAAGACAGAGCTGCTGGCCAGACAGGCCACAGAAGCAGCTCTGGTTGAAACAGTCTATGCGAGTCCCCGGCCCTGGCACCCTGGAAACTGTGGCTGCCCCTTAGTAACAAACAGTGGAAAATGTGTGTCGCTCTAACCAGGGCCTGCCACCGCTGGCGCCAGGGGACACCCTGAGCGCAGAGGCTCTGCTTAGCTCTCTGACTTAATGCTTGCCCACAGCCGCCCCTCAAGGCCTGCAAACCCCTCCGCAGTGGCAAGGGATGTAAGTTATCATGCAGAGCTGGGTAAACGCTTCACCTCTAACACTGTTCTGGATCCTAAGCAATCAGGCCCAGCCCTACCACAGCCCCTCTAGAGGGCTGGCCGGTCATGTGTCCGCCCACACCTTAGCTTCTCCCTGGAGAGAGGAGATTCTTATGAGGAATCAAGGTCTAAAGAGACCCATGAGAAGACTGGGCCATGACTTCCTGTCCTTGAACAGCATGATGTAGTCTGGGAAATGCTAGAAGCTAAACACAAACAGCCAAAACCACAAGCTGGAAGAAGCATCAAGGAAAAGACAAGATGGACAGGCTGGCCATTCTAGCTACTCCAGAAGATGAGGCAGGAGACCCCAGACCAGCCTGAGCTTCATCGTGAGTTCAAGGCCAGCCTAGGAAACATAGTGAGATGTCTCAAAACAGAAATCAAAGAGGACAGAGAGTAGAGCACTTGCTTAGAATGCCTACTGAGGAGCCGGGCTGTGGCTCAGTGGCAGAGCCCTTGCCTAGAATCCCCCAGTGAGGGGCTGGGTGTGTCTCAGTGGTAGAG